CACCCTTGGTGTCCTGCCCTCCGCACGCTCGCCCGGCGATTTCTGAAACCCTTCCGTCGTTCCCTACAGCCGCCCTTTGCAGGGACGGCGCGCGCTCCACGGGCACCCTTGGGCGACGGCCGTACCGGTGCCGGGCCGCTCCGGATGCAGAGCCGAGCTTAGGAGCTGGTGCTCCGTCAGGAACACCTTGCTATTGCCATTTTGCTGCCGCAAGAGCGTGGCTGACCACGTATTAAGCCGTCTTAAGCCTGAATGACCCGGTGGGTTAAGCCTGGCTTGTCTTCTGGAAGGTTGTCTTGCGAGCCCGGCCGTGCCCCAAAACTAGTTTGCTGCCGGGAGTGTGCGTCCCGCCTCTGGCAAGAGCATCCTTTCTGCCACGCAGACCCCTTCTAGCTGCCTCCGAGGAAGTAGGTTAAAAAATTCTTCTCTTGAATTTGGACGTCCACACCGGAGGCGTTTCCTTGCAGCGGCGAGTTGGGCGCTTCCATCTGGTGTTTCAACGAACGACTTCTTCACCGCTTTAGTTATTGGGTTTTGAATGTTTACTTACTCTTGCGTTGCTTCCTATATCTCTGCCGGAATTATTATCCAGCTGATTCAAGCTCTTTCTGTAAACAGCTTTCTAAGCAGTTACTCATTTCCAGCGCCTGCCCTACCTCTGCCCCAGATAAACCGGTGCCGGCGACGCCGGTCTGACTCCTCTAAACACCTCACTGGCTTTTCAGTGTCTTTCTCCCGCATTTAAGTGCGTTTCATTCTCCAAGTAATGCGGTAAAGTAAGTTGTTGGGAGCTACTTTGCTTTCTCTTTTGGGACAGTTGACTTACAATATAGTAAAAGACGAATAATTGAGATTATTCCCCGCTGCGCGTCGCTTTGCACGAATGAAATTAGGTGTCTGTAACCAGGGTGGATGGTCTCATCCTGGATCCTAAAACCCTTTGCAAGAGATACGAAGTGTTGAGCGCTTCTACCAATGTTTCTCCAAGTTCTCCGCTGACGGCGCGATGGGACAGTATTCGTGTCGCTGCTCGTGCCCTGCAGTAACCTCCTTCCAGCCCCTTTTATTTTGGGCAACTTTTCTCCGTGCCAGCTAACTATGAGCTATAAACTGCTTTTATTTTAAAAACCTGGATTAATCACAGAGCTTAAATAAATGAGACGCTTGGCGAAGCCAGCATCCTTGGACAAGAGCAGACAAACCAACACCAGCTCCCTGCTTCCAGCTTGCTGGACATGTTTGGGGGGGGGGTAATTTTAATTTTTAATTTTTGAACAGAAAATTTAAATAACCCAGAAGGATTCCGGAGGCTCATCTCACCGATCATGTCTCCGGTTTGTCACGGGAACGCCAGCAGCATCCGTACAGAGCTGAAGACAGAGGGTTCATTATCCCTCTGCGTACGGTGGATGCATGATTTTGGGATGCCCAGGGACGCTCAGCAGCCTCTCGGAAAACTACACCCGGTATCTTAGGAATTTGGTGCGCCGGGATGCGGGCTGGAGGTCGGCGGAGATCGGTGCCCTTTGGTCGTCGTACTCCTGGGCACCAGCTGTGCTGGGTTTCTCTTGGCTCGGTGCTTTAGGTCCCCGGGGAGGAGAAAGCAAATGGCTGAGCAGAGGTGGGAGGAAGAAATGGTCCTTTTTCTGCTGCAGTCGGCAGGAGGGACCTCGCGGCGCTGCAAAAACGATCCCGATCGTTCGAGCGAAAAAAACAAACAAACAAACAAAACACCCTCAAAAAAACAACACCACAAAAAAAAAAACAAACCCCGCGCAACTTTTGGAAAGACGCAATAAGTGACTCGAGAATAAAAACCAGCTGTGCAGAGAAGACTGTCCAGGGAAGGAAAATCAGGACCTTCCGCTGGGGTAGAGGAAGCTGCTCACCCGCCTCAGACCCCAAAGCCCCTCTTTTTGGATGGTTTGAGTGCTGGTACTGGTGGGGAGCACCCATCTCCTGACCCTGGGTGATCGTAGGGGTGAGGGAGGGGATGGGACCCCCTCTTCAGGGCTCCAGCCGCTGCCCGGAGCCCGTACAAGAGCAAAGGGGGTTTGCTCAGCAGGAGGAGGTAAAACACGCGCCGTTCGGGAGCAGCGCTTGGTCCTGGGCCGGGAAGCTCAAGCAAGCAGCTGAGCCAGGTTTACAGACACAATAAAACCACTGGAAAAACTCCAGAACCGGTGCAAAGTCGTCGTCTTCTGGATTGGGATATATATTCATAGGCTGGGGAGAAAGTCATTGCTTGAAAACGCAAACTCGCTTTTTGGGATGGGAATAACGACGCTGATTATTGTTAGTGCTAATAAATGCTTGTATTTTACAGATGCTCCGTAAATGTTAACGCTAATAAAAGAGCACGTGCTGCTTTTGTTAGACGGCTGTTGGTGCGCGCTAGGCTGGTTGTGTTGAGACCTTGGCCGAAGAAGGAAGCTGCGAAGGCGGAGGGCGATGCCGGTGACGCCAAGGGCGATGCTGGTGATGCCAAGGGCGATGCCGGTGACACCCAGCTTTCCTGCCGGGCTTGCTTTCTTCGCTGCACTAAGAAAGTCTCAGGGTAAAAAGCAAGCTGATCAGCCAGACCTCTTTGTGCAAGCACTAGACTTTGAAAGGAGAACTGAAAGACGAAAATAATCAGAGCTTTAACCTCCGGAGGCAGCGCGCTGCGCCGCCGCCGTTTCGCTTCTCCTTTGCAAATGCTTGCAAGGGTGACAAAAATCAGAAAGAATATACGGGGGGGGTCACGCGGAGTGCGTTACGTGTCCGCCTGTCCCGGCACCCACCTCCAGCTGGCTCGGTCTCCTTGGTTTTTTAGACCTTGCGTCCACGTCTCGCTTTACAGGCGTCTTATCAGGGATTATCTCCGCTGGGTTTTACGGCACATGGGATTTTTAGGATGTGTTTTCATAAACCAGTGATGTTTTGTTTCCGCCCGCAACAGGCGATCAGGATCATTCGGGCTGTCCTGGAGAAGTACGGGACCTACGAGAGCTTCGAAGTCGCCACGGGCGGGAGGCTGCTGAGCAAGTGCCAGATCTGGTCCGTGATCCGAAAGTACATGCAGAAGGAAGGCTGCGTGGGAGAGGTAATCTGCGTCCCTGCTTTCTCGCTTGTAAAATCCAGCTGCAAAATATTTATTTTCTGGTAACGAGGGCTCGGATTGAGACGTGTTTTGGGTACAAAGGAAGAAACTTTTCTACTCTGAGCCGTGGTGTTTTTTCATCTCCGGCTTGGCTGCGTTTGCCGTACCCCGGCGTTAGGACGCGAGCGCTGGTTCCCCACCAGTTATATTCGATTTTTTTTTTTTCCAGTGTGTATCTCTCTTTTAAGCTTAAGAGAAAGGAGCCTGGCCGCGTGGAGCCTTTTGCTGCGTGCATGAGGCATCAATTACAGTCGGGAAGAGTCATCTCCTGCTGTCAGCGGTGGTATGGCAGACATCTCCCACAGCTGCCTTCGCTCGCATGTCCGCTTGCAAAGCCGGGGGAGGAGATTTCCTGCGGGATGCGCTGGGTTACGGCGCTTTAAAACCCCAAGCTCAGGTTTTAAGGGTGGGAGATAGAGATACGACGGTAGCCGTGCGGGATGGAGCCGGGGGGCGGACATTCGGCATCTCTTCATCTGGTTTTTTCCGTACCCCCAGCAGCACCCAGCATGGCATGTCCTGTGGCTTCAGTTAAGGGGCTTCTTTTGGGTTGGGTTTTTTTTCCCCCCTTCCTGCCAGCAAGGTGTGGGCAAAACACTTCCACCAACCTGGGTTCAAGCAGTGAGAAGGATTTCTGGACCTGGTTTTGACTTTTTTGGCTCCCGGGGGTGCAAAAAAAGCCGGCCGCTGGCCGCAGGAGCGAGCGGTTCCCCGAGGTCCCACACACCCCAAAACCCCCTGGTTTGCCCTGATCCCTCCCGGGAGTGTCCCTGGGATTTGGCACCTCGGCCCTCTTAAGACTTTGCTTAGGATGGAAAGGATCTCTGCAAATCTCTTCCTGTAATTCAGCTGCCTTTCAGTACCAGTCCCAATACCCAGCCCAGCAGCTGGCCAGTCTTACTCACAGACCTACACTTGCTAGTTGTGGTCTACCTCTTGATTTTATTGATTAAATTCAGCTATTTTGCTCTTCTCTGTTACTCTAAGCCCGAATTGAGCTCTGGCTGGGCAGAAAAAGACATCTTTTTCCTTACATACCGGTGTGCAACTGGCTTCCTTCCAGCCCCGTGTGATTTTCCCTTTACTCAAGGGAACGTGGAGTTCAGTAATTACGTTTGCGCGTCGGCGTGCGAGATACGTGGCTCTTTTACCCAAAACTTTTGATAAGTGCTTTTATAAACCCTTAAAGCATTGGTTTGTTCATTCCCACCCGTTAACAAATTTTGCCGAATTTCTCTGGGGCAGGGAAGAGGGAAGGGTTTCATCTGCTCTTGATATAGCGATGTTGGCAAACTTTGCTCCCCATACAGAACAAAAACTTGCCGAAACTTCTGCGTTGCCGAGAATGTAACACCCAGTTGGGGAGCTGGGCGGTTTCAGATGCGTATCTCCCTCCCTGCGCCTGCAGCTGTGATTCCTGACGTTCACCGTCCGCTCTGCCGTGCCGTTTGCTTCGCGGTTACATATTAATCGTGATGGCTTTCTTAAAAACAAAAAAGAAAAAGAAGAAACTCCGGTGTGGGGGGTTGCGTTAGCTGAGGGACCGACCCGCCGATGCGTCAGCTGCCTGTGCTGCCTGCAGGCAGTCCTGGCAGGCAGCGCGGGCCAGGCTGGTGGCAGTCGCTGCAGGCAGCTGCCTTTTGTCCCCAGCGCCGACCGGCAAAGGCAGGATCCCACTTTCCGGCACCGCGGGCAGCACGCTAGTGGGTGAGTATTTGAGCTATAATTAACTTTGCATCTTCAAGAGCTGCTTTGCTGGGGTCTGAGCTGCAGATCCTGAAGCTCTTCTGCTTTTCTTCTGGCTCAGGGCTGAGGGTGACGCTGCCGGAGCTCACAGGTCTCCATACAGATTTCGGCGAGCTCCCAGCTTGCAGCAGAGAAACCCCTCTGGCCCCGTTGGTAAGTGCTGCGTGGTAATCCCTGGGGTTGTGAAATGTTGTTAGACTAAATAGCGCTAGCTAGCATCTCCTGGGATCCCATCCGTGGTGCCTCTCCACCCTGGAGATGCTCAGTGCCGGCGCCTTCTTGGCGTGCGAGGTCCTGAGCAGATGGACGGGCTGCTGGCCGTGCCAGGGAGCTGGGGAGAGGCAGGAGCCCGTGCCCCGGTGCCGCAGGAGCCGTCAGCAGTCTTCCCTCCTGGGGATGCCCTCTTCCTCCACCGTCGCATCCACAGAAGCGGAGCAGAAGCTTCGTGGACCGCAAGGATGCGCTGGGGCTCCCGCGCTCTCACAACCTGGAGAGCTGGTGTTGCTGCTCCGGGAACGGGCTGCAACTTCAGCCGAAAGTCCTCCGTTCTAACGGCATCTGCAAAGCTGGAGGCTCCCAAAATAAGGCAAGTGGTGCCGCTGAGCGGGCGGATGGGCTGCTGCAGCCGGAGCAGGGCTGCGGGCAGCGTAACGGGAGCGTGCAAAGCTGCGGTCTCCGGCGATGCCGAGAGTCCCTTCCCATCGCTGCCGGCCGGCTGGCTCGGCACAAGGCGGTTCTTGGCCCCTCCGTTTAATACGACAAAACAAGGCTCTATTATCCCACGTTATCAAATAAGGGGAAAAAACCAAAATAACCCAAGCCAATGCCTCTAGAAAGGCATCAGACTGACATCTGAAGAGTGACATCGCGGGGTTTTGCCCATCGTCTTCTCACCGTGGTGGCCCCTGGATGCGTCCGTATCTTCGGCTCTCGCGGGCAGACTGTGACCTGCAGCTGTACCCGTCTCCAGGCAGTGTCTAATCCTGTTTCCCAGCCCATTCCAGTCCATTTCTGTCCTTCCTTCCCCTGCCCAGCTCTGTCCCAGGATTTCTCCATCCTTAGGACAGGGATGGGGAATTTCTGTCCGGGCTGTGGCAGCCCCGTGTCTTCCCAAGTCGGGGGATGTTTCTGCCTGCAAAACCGCTGCCGTTAATTTGCCTACCTGATCACGAACCCTTGCAAATATCCCACGGCGGGTTGCACCATTTGCTGATGCTTCTTTGTCCTGAATCTGCTGCCTGATCGCTTCGCTTGATGCCGTCGAGCTCTTGTACAGGGAAAAAAACAGTTTCTACTCCATATAATTGAGTCTTGCTGTTTCTGCGTTGTCTTTACCTTTTCTTCACCACGAGAGCGGGGGAAAAAATCAACAGTGTTCCCTCTGACTTGGATCCTTCCTCCAAAGGCTGTGGGATGTTCGTGCTTGGAGGTTTTTTTTCCTTCCCAAAAACACAGACCAGTTACTTCAGCTGCACCCTCCCCTCTGTGCTCAGCTTTCCATCGGCGTCCCAGCTTACTGCAAACTGAATTTTTCTGTGCCCTTGGGTCTTTCTCCAAACGCGGTATCCCAGAGAATGCTTCGGTCTTCATTTCAGCTCTTGCTGCCTTGCCTAAAAAGGGCTCGTGCCAGACCCGATTTCAGTGCTGAGCATCACATCCTCGAGGATGCCGAGTATCAAATCCCCAGCATCCTCGGCCACCTCTTATTTTCCAGCTGTTTGCTGCCTTTCTCTTTGCTCACCCTGTGCGTAGTGATACCAGATAGG